TTTTGCATATATCTTTTTGAGATTTTTTTTGAATACATTTACTGGATTGTTCCCCTAAAGTTATTTCATACGTTAGGACTGTTTATAGGCAAAATTCTTTTTTAAATGAAATTTATTACATTTTTTTGTACATAACTAAAAGCAACAAATTATAAAGAAAGCTCATACACATTCATTTACTGCCAATTCAAATGGATATTACTACAACCATGGAGAGTATATTAATATTACAAGAAGTAACAGTTTAACCAAAATTTAAAAATTATCAATACTTTCTTTATCAACAAAATAAACAACGGAATATATATTGGAAATGATTGATAGAATAATTTTGCCAGCTCTTTTTGTGGGATATTAATGTAAAATTGTCCTAGCCGTCATTTAATTATTTTGGATTTCATATCCATTTTCTATCATATGCTTAATTGCATATTTAATTGCTTTTTTTGTTTATTAAAATAAGTTAAAAGACAATTAACATATTTTGAGTGGACATATAAAATGACCCATTTCGAGGGTAACAGCAAATATACAAAATGCAATGTATGATATAATCATGACAAATCCAAATAATTTACTCATTTTCCAATTTGATAAAGCAATTGATGCAACAAGTACGACGAGCATGATGAAAAGCATACCGACACTGCATATCAAACCATTGCTGCAATGATCAACAATGTTCAGTCTTTTTTTTTCTTTTTTTTTGCATTCAAAAATTTTCATTAAAATTTTTGAGAGAGATTATAATGTTTTGCAAAAATATACCTTGATGAAAATTTATATCACATTTATTTCTTTCGGCAATTTGTTATATTTGAAAGATTTTGAATTAAAATAACAAAAAAGAGGAAACAGAAAATCTGAAATCATTTTTCATAGAAGTTTTTTTTTTCAAAAATTTGAAATCTTACCTGGAAACTGAAATGTAATTTTGTGTAGTACCAGGATTACGAAGAGGTTCAACAATAAAAAATAACAACCATGGAATTGGTAATCTAAAGAAATTTGAATGAATAAAGATGAAAAACAATATATCAGATCATATTAGTAATTGTCAATTGTAAATTCAAAATTTGAAATTAATCTAATTTTAATTTGAATTCTAAAACTATTAATAGTTAAAATTTCATCTATCGTTGAATAAATTTTCTAAAGTTTAAGATATATTTTTTAAAAATGTAACAATTAACTTACCCAACGCATACATCGAAAATATTGCTACCAACAGAACTCGAGACAGCCATATCACCAAGGCCTTTCCTTGCCACAATAACACTTGAAATTTATTTTGGCAATTTTAATTGAATTTTCGACGAATAGTTACTTTTTATATGTCTTGTTGTTAAAATTAATAAAATATATTTTAATATAGAAATTATTTTAAAGTGAACTTTAAATAATAAAACTTGAGAAATTCGTGCAAAAATTTTGCATTATTTAGAATTATTATTACTACCACTCAATAGCGTGCTCTTTTGCAATCTCCTATTCTTGTGCATGCATATAAATGCATATTGCATGCAATCCGTGCATGCTATGTAATGCATTTCAAAGATAGCTCCATAAATCCTGCTGTAAAATCATACTTTTTTTTATTCAACTGATGATTTAATTAATCATACCTGGTAATTAAATCAGGTATGCTTGTTCCTGCAGCCAAGATTGTCAAGCCAATCACCTAAATTTATTGACATGATTTATTTAAATAATAAAATATGCATATTTCTTATTTTATATTCTTATATATGTCACATTAATAAAAGTGAATTTAATCCATTAAATTTTATATTCACTCGTTATTTCTAAAATTAATTAAAATTAAAAAGTAAAAAATGAATTTCAATTGTCAAGCAAATGGTATGAGCAAAAATGAAACTAATTCAAATAATTTTTTATTTTGGAAAAAATTTGAATGTTTTTAAATGTTCTACAATTAACAATATTAATAAATCTATTTACTTTATAATCACATAATTAATAATATAATTGTCACTTTCACCCTAGCATAATTGCTAGGTAATTAATTAATAAAATTAAAAGAAATACACTCACCTCCGTGGGCATAGCAATCGTTTCACCAATAGTATTAGCCATCCAAACCATTATATAAGAATAAAATGCAATCCAGAAAATGGAACCAATAAATGTGATTGGAAACCATTTACGCGCATTCTATTTTAAGATGCTATTAGAATTGAAAATAACAAAATTGCAAATACAATTGAAGTCCAAGAACTTTCTACGAATTAAAAGACGAAGAAAAAATTTTTTCATTTGATATTGAAATGCTTCAAATTAAAGTTTTCAACAAATTCAATTTGAATTGAAGCAATAAGTTTAGTGTTAAACAGCAAAATTTTTCAATTAAAATAACTTCTTCAATAGATAATCATATGAAAAATAAGCTTGTATACCTGCTTCCTGACATCAGGTAGTGTCACCCATAATGGGAATAAAATTGGTGATAAGAATAAATAAAGAATTTGACGATGTAATTTCTCAGGCCATGACATATCCAATGGTTTTTCTTCTTCCTCTTCAAGCATTTCTTTCTATAAATTACTAATAATTTTTAATCATTATTTTTCCTAATATTATATTGTTAGTGATTTGAAATTTTACAATCAGTTTTCATAAATTTAACTTTTTATACTTTCCTTTCCTCCGATTACTTTTTATAGTATTCAGTTACTTTTTTATAGTTGATAACTTACTTTCAGAACTTATAAAATATCATAATTTTGAGTTTTATAATTTCTATAAAATTTCGCCATTATTTCAAGAAAGTAATGGCAGAAAATTTGAATGAATTATACAAAATTTACTATTTCTGATACACAAGTTGTATTGGGACATATTGAAGTACGTTTACTTGTTACTGTACTTCTTCGACCCATTTCCGAATCTGGACGTTCCATTTCATATGCCATATTAGCCTGTGACAGAAAAAAAAAAACAGAAAATGCCTTAATTTGCATGTGACGTTTATTACCATGCAAAAAAAACTTGAAATGGAAGTGTAAATTGAATTGTATATTAATTTTTAAGACAAGTATGAAATAAATGGAACAAAAATCGAAAGATTATTTTAACTGCAATTGGCATTTTTCAACATAATAAACTAAATTTGCGTATTTCAAAATATAGCTCTGAGTAATTTTTTCTCTCTTATTAAAAACTCTACAAAATTGCTTAAATATCTTTTAAATATTTAGCTCTCCCAATTTATCCTACTTTATCAATACGTCAAAATTAATTAAAACCTTTTGATCATTTGGATGATATTGCCAGTCACGAACAATTTCATCAAGTGTAATTTGCGCCCGTATTGTGCTATTATTTTCATTCTGTCCATTTAAACCTAAAATAAATTTACGATGAGTTAATTAGAAGCATAAATATTTAAACCTAAAATAAAATTTACGATGAATTAATTAGAAGCAAAAATTACTTTTGCTGAAAGTAAATTTTTGAAATGCTATTAAAAATCTTAACAGCAACAATAACCACGACTCCTTTCATTTTTGAGAGATAATCTCTATTTTAGAACAAAGCGGTGAAATATTGAAATATTGTAAATTTCATGCAAGAAAAATTTTATAGGAACAATTTCGTATTTATTAAAAACTTTTTATAGTTTTCTTTCTTTTTTCAGAAAAAAATGGTTTTAAAATAAATTTATATAAATTGTAAAAATTTTTGATGAAAATGCGACAAGAGAAAAAAGAAGTCATCAAACAAAAATGGTTACAAAAAATTTGAATATTAAAATTGAGCAACAAAAATTGTTAAAACATTTCTTGCTGCAATTTTTTTCCATTCTTTTTTTGATAGTGAAGTTTTTGAAATTAGAATGACAATTTTCATTCTGAAACTTTTACCATTGGATCAATTCCAACAGTGCTATAATCCTAAAAGGAGTTGTTAAATTTAAATTGCACTCATTTAAGTGTACATTTGTGGAAGAAATTTAATCCATTTCATTTAACCCACTCCTTTTTCACTTTCTTTAAAAAAAAGCTTATTTCGATTTGGTTACAAAAAAAGGAAAAAAAACAATCTTTTATCATAATGAAAAGTTCATATATTCTTTGTGTTTGAAAATAGAAATTAAAAAAAAGGAATATCATAGGCTATGTTAAATTGATTGATTAACAGCTATTTAATCAATTTGATCATGCTGCAATTATTATTTAATGGCTCTTTGAAAAGAAATGAAATAATTTGCGTTTGAAAAATTGTTGCTACTAATAGTCTTCAGGTAATGACAGTAATTAGTCAGATAATTTTAAAATGTGTCAATTTTGTGACGTTTCTGCCAAAATACAAAAATATTTGTTAAATTTCAAATTTTTAAATGAGTGATAAATTAATGACAGAAAGGCCATGTCTGTTGAAAATGAGAGGAAAACGCTGTTGACGTATTTTTGCGAAGATATTATTTCTAACAAAGGAAAAAGTATAGAATACAGTGTGATTGTTAAAGGTTTAGAATTGAAAAGTTTACATTTTAATAGAATTTGAAAATAAACTTAGATCCTATAATGATAATGCCAAATATGTAGTCATGCAACAAATCAACAATTGTCTTTTTTCCGCTTAAATCATTATTATTAATCTCACGAATGATTTTTTAAAATGTTACTAATTTCAATTATCCATTTGAGGAGAAATCATTTAATTGTTTGACTTAAATTATTTGAATAATTTAAAATTTTCAGCAGACAGTAAAAAGAAAGAACAGTGAGATTTCTGTTTTAAATCAAAAAAAAAAATAGCTAAATTAATTGATTAAATGCTATAGTTATAATTTAAATATGTCTTCATCAGTGCCTTCCTGTAATGGATCAAGGCCTTGAGATAGAAGCTGAATAATGCCGTTCCGGAAAATTGCTCCGCTATGCAGAATTGGAAAAGACTGGCGACGCGAGCACTGATCATATGTTCGAATGAACGAATTAGATCTGTTAGATCTTTCAGATGCGGAAATGTGTTGTTGATCGACCCGTGGTACCACCGGATCCTGTTGCACTGGTTGCATTCGCGATATAATGGTACTATTATTACCACCATATTTTGCCTTATTGTCTTTCTAAAATTTAATTCATCAAAGCAATTTTAACGAGTAACATTTTTAATCCATACTTTACCTCATTGTCTTTCTAAAGCTCAATAATTCATTGGAACAATTTCAATGAATAAAATTTTTTATTTGTCAAAAATTAGTAAAAAATAATTTTTTTGAAATCAATTAACAACTGTTGCTGGAAATATTATTCTTTTCAAACTTTATGCTAACAAATATTTAATTTCTGATTTTCTCCCTCAAAAATTTTCATTTATCAATGTAAGCTTAAAAAGCGAGCATTTTTAGCAAAATATTATTTGAATGAAAATTATATACCGCTTTCCTATAGTTTTAAAAAACTTCAATGATATGAACTTTTCCTTTTCTTCCATTATTCAAAAGTAAATGCTATTACTTAATAGCATGCAATATTTAATCATTTTCCCTTTATTTTATTAAAAAAATCATAGAAGTTTTTTTTTTTATAAGGAATTGGTGGAAGAGCATGCACGCTGAAAATTTATTTAATGATTTAAAAAAAGGCAGTTATGGGAGAAGATTAAAAGTTTTAAAAATTCGACATTTAATTTTCAATTTAAATTAGTAACAGGTAAGTTATATTAGAATGCGCTCAGTTAGTTTCTTTTGAAAATTTGAGAAAATTAATACTTGTTAGATTAACTACTTTAAGTTGTAGATTAGTTAATTTTCTGAACTGAGCTTTAATCGATGGATAAATTTAAATGAATGATTTAATATTTGAATGAAATTATATTAACCGTAAAAAAGTATAACAATCTTTTAAAAAAAAATATTGCATTTATTGAGCAAAATAATCGTTATCCGTTTGAACGTGCTCTTGAATTTCATATGACAAATTTAAATGCTATTTTTTAATTTTCAAACTTTAATTCTAATTTTATTTTCTCTTATTTTGTCGATTTTTTTTTGAGTTTAAGTTTGATAACTAATAAGCTAATAAATGTAACACTGCGAATGTCTTTACCTCTTCCAATCCCCGCACTTTGTTATCTTCTTCGACTTTATTGGATTTCTTACCCGAACAGCGACATTTGACAAAATTCTCGACGGTTTCGTTATATTTCATAAATATGCA